TGCGGTACTTATAGATCTCCAGGTTCTTAAACCACAAAATGAACATCTTGAGAACAAGGACTGTGTAGTGATGTCTGAATCATTCGGTTTGTACTTTGTTGTGGGGCTGAGATGCAGGCCAGATGTACCTGGGGAGCCTGCATCCTTCCATCTTCTTGGAGTAGATGTCAGAGGTTAAGATCAGAGTTCTTTAAACAAAACTGAAAAAGATTAATAATTTAAGGAAAACATTTGTTAAGTCTTAGGACAAATACAGAGACACATCATTCGCATGAGGGAGATCATTATTAGCATGAGTTCATAATGGTGTCCAAGGTGTGTGCTGAGATTCAGCCAGCAAATATTCGTAGTCTTTTTGTTAGTGTTGCATAGGGAGAGCTTGTCCGTTCTAAACCACATGGAGACTGAGTCATTCTAGTAGTTACCACTGTGCCTTAAAGTGAGCCTGAGGGAAAGTCCCTGTTTGTGTTCATCACGAAATCCTCAACATCTAGCCCTGTGTTTCCAAAAGCAGGTCGACCCACCCACCCCCTAGGGGCTCTGGATGATCCAGGGCTGCTGCAATTCAAATCCGTACACTTTATCCTGTATTATGGGCTATAGGACTGGAAATTTTAATTGCCCAGGGGCACTGAATAATTTTTCTGAAAAGAGGGCAGAGGGCCAAATAAGTGTGGGAATCTTTTGGTCCAATCTGTAGCCTACTTCACAAAAAATGTTCAAATGTTGGTTGACTAAAAGAATAAATGACAGTATGATAGTCTTAAGTCTGGACTTCAGTTCATTTTTAGGTTCCTGCTTATCACTGGAAAAAACTAAAACATATTTGCCTTTAACCAGGATCTACTCTTAAAATATAGCGGGAATATTTCAAGTTTCAGAGCCCTAACAGGGTTGCATATAGGCTCTGAAGTTGTACAACTTCAGAGAAGACATAGGTGACTTCTGTGTGTCTAGCTACCAATTTGCTGTTGAGTAGATGCTAACTCATGCTGTTAGATCTCTCTGAAGCTAGATCTATACCTCGGTCCTTGGCTCCGGGCGAGCCTCGTTTGTGATCCAAGTGAGTTTGATGAGAGTTAGAAGAAGTTTCAGGTTTACACGGCACCCATAGGACTCCTCCCAAACATGCGGCCTGGCTGGAAGCTGCTCGGTTTGGTGTCACGCAAAAGTGTCCCAAAGTTCTGCCAAATTTCTGCCGCCCCGGGCTCCTGCCTTTTCAAGGATTCCACGGGGAGGCGTGGTGGACAACCCCTGATGGACCCCATTGGCTGAATTGAATTCACCTGGCCTAGGTGGGCCGTTAACGGACATTCCCCAGTCCTACGCTAGCCTACCTAACAATGCCAACCTCTACACTTTGTCAGAGGAGAACTGAGCGCCCTTGGGGTTTCAACTGGTGATCTTCAGAAGTAGATCTCCTTCTACAGAAGCCTACAGAGTACTTCCAGCCTGCCCAAGGGGTTGGGGGGTACTTCTGTGGTTCATAATTCACTTGACAGAAGTAGTTTTGATTTTTGGCTGTATCATTGATTCTGTTTGTTTGCAAGATGGTTTATTAGTTAGACAGGCAACAACTCTAGGCTATAAATGTAAATCCTTGAATTTGAGCACTAGCTTTTTCACCTTGAACAAAAACTCTCTCCAGTTTTGCAATAATTGTAATAGCTTCTGTGCTTACCTATCAGAAGAGTTTTAGGAGGCATAAAAATGAAAGACTGAAAGAAAACGTAAACTGTCAAAGACTGGATATGTGTAAGTTAGTCTAAGATTTGCCAGAAAGTGTTACATTAAACCCTAATATGTAGCCTTTAAGGAAGTTCTGATGTATAGGGAGCGTTTCATTGGATTCCACGAGAGCCTGGTACTAAGGAGTTTTTATCCTCGTGCAGGGAGTTTGGTTTTGGAAGTGAGTCATTGCGTCACTTTCTTCCATGACCAAACTGATATAAACGCCATCCGATTTGCATAAAAACATATGATCTACCGCAGTGTGACAGCAATCAAATTAGCAGACATCTAATTCCTATGATTCAGTAGCATCTCATAAGGAACCAGACTGACCTTTGTTTTAAAATAGGTGATCACCTTGATGCTATGAGTTTTAGGCTCCCCCTAGTGACTATCTGGCAGCAATCAAATTTATACAACTATTTTAAACATTTTCTATTAGCATTCTGCCAGTCTTTTGAAGCCAGATCATTAGCAACCTGATACAAAAGGGCGGGGGCAGTTAAGACAAAGTTCCAGGACTATTCGTTAACAAAAGATGTTATAATAGAGCTATTTACTACTCTAAAACCATGAAAAAGGAATATCAAGTGTGATAAGACATTAATGCAAACAGCTAGGAAGAAAACACTGAGTAGACGTAAGAATGCTTATCTTTCTATCTAATGTAATTGTGAAAGGGAGACAGACTGACATCAGTTAGCAAAACCTTTACTAGACCCATTGTTTATCTCATGTTATCCTTCTCAACCATGGATTTTCAGATGAGGAAAGAAAGGTTAAAATTACATGATTATCACCTCTAGTTTTTATAATCTGATAAATTCTCAGCATATCCAAATGAATTAAATAAAACATTTTTATTTTAATGGTGAGAAACTTTCAATTAGTTACTTTTGAAATAATACCACCATTCTTGACCCTCTTAACAGAAGATAATCATTGCCTTGAGTTACTTTTTTAAAATCATTTTATTCGGAGCTCTTAGAGATATCATAACATTCCGTAGTTCAATCACACCAAGCACAATCAGTTTCACAATCAGTTTCAAAACATTTTGTCTTGAACTCCTTGCCACCTGCTCCCCTTTAGCCCTGCCCTCCCACACCATACCCCCCAGGAACTCTTAATTTATTTTTTGCCATATCTTACACATCCAATATATCCATTCACATACAATTCTGTTTTTCGATCCCATCAAGTGGGATTATGCAGTCATCAATGCCATCAGCTCCCTATTGACCCCTTTCTGCCCCCGCCCCCTACCCTCAGGGAACCGGTACTGAGTTCACTGGTACTCAGAGCAACTCCACCAAAACCCAGCTCCCTGCCTTCCAGTGCATGCTGACTGCTGGTGACTTCCCGACTGTGACTGTTAGAGAGGAGAAAACCCAGCCTGTCTCCCGGGGAGCTGCTGCTGGTTTCTCCATTCAGATTGCAGGCCAGTGTGAGCTTGCTCCACAGGGTTTCCAAGGCTGTAAAGTTTATGGAAGCCACAGCGATATCTTTACGTACCAAAGCAGCTGATGGGCTCAAACGGCCATCTTCTCAGTTATTAGCAACCAAGCACTTAACCATTGCCCCAGTAGGGCACCCCGGAATAGAAAATCCACATCAAATTTCAGATTTACTAGCTTTGTAAATGTAATTAGCTCCCGGCCCCAGATTACAATAGCACTTTTCTCGCTCACATACAAAGAATTTTCCTTTGATTTTTTTTTTACCAGTTTAGTTTGTGCTACGCAATTAAATCATTAGAAGCCAGTGGTTATGAATAGAGCAACTTGAAAATGTT